ACTTCCGCGAGGCTCATTTACAGGCCGGCCGGCTTATTTCGCCCTTCATCAGCATGCCGTCTCACGCGGAAGTAAAATGAAAAGAGAGAAAGAACGGAAAAGGTTTGGTCCAATTAATGTTTTCAACTCCAAACTCCCACTAGGTTTACACTTTTCCAGAGTAGGTTCGCTCTGGGCGTGGCGGCGTAGCGTTGCGTGGGTCGAGGCCGTCGGATACAGTCGAATGACTGCCAACAGAGTCCCGCTACTGTGACCAAGGGCGTGCCGCGGGTTTCAAAAAAATCGTGTTGGAAGCTGGAGGATGGCTAGAGCTGCAATCGGCTGCAATCTGCAGGGGCGGACAATCCTACCTACAGCACAGCCGCCAGAACCCCTTCGCCGAGAGATCGCATCTCTGGAGTCCGTCACCGCGCAGTGAAATACAAATAGAGTCTTTCTCCAGTGTTCCCCTCCGGTGTCCAGGTCCAGCGGCCTGCCGGCCTGCCGTACCCAGTTCCGATTCCAGTGTGCTTTCGGTCCTTTCACCCAGTCAGAGTCTTTTGTGCGGCCCGCTGCAACAGAGCCACCCCGGCCAGGCCACCCCGCACCGCCCCGCACCGAGCCAGAGACCAGGCGGTAGAATGCCTCCGTCTCTCTATCTGTCTCTCTCGCACCCATACGGGAGGGCAATGAGTGCGAGAGAGTCAGCGCGACGGAACCGAGTCTCGGAAGCAGTCTGCAGGGCCGGACAGGACCAGGCAGGGGCGTTAAAAGTGGAGAAAAAACGAGTCATTAGCACCGCGCTGCTGCTCTGCCGGCTTGCGGCCTTAGCGCCGCCGCCTTACGCGTGGACCTAATCAGGAAGTTGGTTAAGCAGTGGCGTGGCAGGGACACCAAGGAAGAGGGGCGACGGGTGCGGTGAGACAAAGAAAAAGCCCGGGGAGGTAATTCCAAAAGGGGGCGACCAGCGCCCCCCGTGGGGCCCCCGTGGCCCCCGTGGGGCAGCACAGCGGGAACATCGTCCACTACAGCGGAAGGTGGCCGCGCCCCGCCCCGCTCCGCTGGCGGTAGTTAGGACTTAGGACTGCTTTCCGCGTTGAGAGGAATCTCGTAAACGGACTCCAAAGAGTTAATCAAGCAAACGCGCAGCTTGGCCGCCGCATCTTCGCTCTCATCTCAGAGATAGATTGACTATTAGCTTCCAGTGGCCCTCCCCGGACTCCGGTGACACGTTTGCGCCGCTTGCGTCTCCGTGTCTATGTCTCTCTCGCACTCTTGGGGCGTCCCGTACGGGTGCGAGGGAGGAAGAGAGAAGCCCTGGAAATCAGTCCCCCGATCAAAGGCGCCCTCTCCAGCGCAATAATCTTGTGGCACTTCTGGCCGCGGGGCACCGCGGGGACACCGGGGACCACGCCGCGGTCCGGGCCTGGCGGGGGTGGTGGGGGTGGCAGGGGTGGTGGGGGTGGCGCCTGGTCACTGGAGCGTGCACGCCAGGGTGATGATATTAAGCAAGCAGGAAGAAGGCAGCGGTCGCTATGAAACGGGGACAGGGTGGGGCGGCCCAGCGTCCCCGCGGCCCTGCGGCCCCTGCGGCACCTCGGCCGCGCCGCACCCCCGACTGGTGCGACTTTGAGTCCGACTCGGACACTTCCGGTTCAGGCTCGGACTGGCCCAGGCCGCGGGTGCGCGAAACTCTCGGGGGCAATAGCGGGGCCCGGCGAAACTCCCGTGGGCACTCGCGGGGCCCGGCGAAACTCTCGCGGGCACTCGCGGGGCCCGGCGAAACTCTCGCGGGCACTCGCGGGGCCCGGCGAAACTCCCGCGGGCACTCGCGGGGCCCGGCGAAACTCTCGCGGGCACTCGCGGGGCCCGGCGAAACTCTCGCGGGCACTCGCGGGGCCCGGCGAAACTCTCGCGGGCACTCGCGGGGCCCGGCGAAACTCCCGCGGGCACTCGCGGGGCCCGGCGAAACTCTCGCGGGCACTCGCGGGGCCCGGCGAAACTCTCGCGGGCACTCGCGGGGCCCGGCGAAACTCTCGCGGGCACTCGCGGGGCCCGGCGAAACTCTCGCGGGCACTCGCGGGGCCCGGCGAAACTCTCGCGGGCGGTTTTCGGCGGGACCACTTGCTAGCTAGGGGCCGGGCCGCTAGCAGCACGTCGTGCCGCGGCCTTGGGGACGGACCACTGTATCGGAGTGCGTCTCGCCGGGGCCAAGTGACACTACCAGCTCCACACCCAGCCTCAACTACTAGATTCCAACTTCCCTGGCGCGCACGGTGTGCCGGGCCGGGCGGGGCGGGGCGGGGCGGCAAGCCATGTGGTATGTAGTCCGCGAGTGTGGCGGCCCCGAGACCTTGGCGGCGCCCTTACAATTATTCCTGCCGGTAAAGCCCTTGAATATGCACGGCGTCGGCGCGGCGCGGCGCCCGGCCTGCAGGCTGGTGCCGAACAGCGCCCCCTGTCCCCCTCGCACTCGCGGTGCGTTCCGCGGCGGAGCGAGAGAGACAGAGCGACACTGGCTGGAGAGTCTCCGCGACTCGCGGCTCGGATCTGCCAGGCATGCGCGGCAGCGCGACGCAGACATGGCTCCGCCGTGAACTCCGGCATGCCTCGGCGTGATGACGACTCGCTGCTCAGAGTGACTGTCTGTCACACACGCAGTCACTCAGCTAGTCACGATTGTCAAAATGCCTGCCAGCAGCTGCTATTAAAACCCAGCCCTACTAATAAATTATTTTTTTTTTCAAAAAAGATTCCTGCGTGGTTTTGGGTAAAATTACAGTAAATTTTGGAACTAACTGGAGTGAGCAAAATGAAGAAAAACTGAAAATTTGTCGTGAGTGACTTACCTGTGTAAGGCAGCGGTGCAGGCCAGCCGGCCGGTCGCCTCGCTTGTCACACAGTCACTCCGTCTCTCAGTCACACAGCAGTCACACGGGCACACAGTCACACACGTGCTGCTGGCCGCTTGCCGCTCGCGGGGCCGCGCGTCCACTGATGTCGCGTCGCCGCGCCGGTCTCGCGTGGCCCCGCCCGCCCCGCCCCGCCCCGCCGCCCCACGCCACGCCACGCGTCGCGCTACTGGGCTATCGATAAGTGAAGCCCCCTCCAAGCGTCGAATCCACGTCCACGTCTCCGCCGCAGGAGCAGCGGGTGTATCTGGGCCAGCGAGTCCGTCCCAGGCGGAACCTCTTTTGTCAAGCCCCTCGCACTCGACTGTCTTTACACAGCCACGCATGCCATTTGCATGTAGTACAACCAGCCGTGCCGTATTTACGTGTAAATATTGAGCACAATTCCGTGCTGAGCACATAGCCTGCGTGTGCATTTGGTTCGTGTGGGGCCGACTCTGTTCAAAGATTTTCCCGGTTCTCGCTAAGTTTGTTGCCATTGGTTGCCATCAACAGTTTCGCATAGCGAATTGCAGCCGATATTAGAAACGGATGAAATTTCATGGCCTCACAGTGTACAAACAGCAACAAAAGCAGTTAGTGCGCCCGCGCTCGCCGACAACAGCATTCGTTATCTCCGGGATTTTTTTGCCCTCGGACTCCAGCCATCTTTCCACTCCCCTTTTCCCAGAAGAAGGCAACAAATGACCTCGTTATTCGTTATACAAAAGCACCAGTACTTTCGCTAATGTGGCTTGCGTCGTCATACCTGTTCGGATCTCACGACAGGGGCACCCGACGGCTCAGCAGCGGGGCGGATTTAAGGGTTTCCGACCGAGAGAGGGTGTACTCTGTAAAATTTAAATTCTAACTAACAGCCGGGTGAGAATAGCCTCGTCACTCCGTCTCTCTCGCACCCTTGTGGGACTGCCAATGAGTGGGAGAGAGACGGAGCGACGGCAGGGAGGCGTGATTGATTGGTGTGGCCGTTACACTGCGTGTGAGTAATCACTGCGGATCACGGCGGCGTGGCGAGGCGTGGCGCGGCGTGGCGGTGACCGAGGACACGGCCTGCACCGCCTGCACCGCCACCAGGCAGCAAAATAGAACAAACTGACGACCGAACGACGACGCCTCCACACCGCCAAGATTGGCGGGTAAATTAACACCAGTTCAATCAAGGGCGGTATCGTGGTTTTCGTTAAGCACATAGCACATTTCCGTAATTTCAACAGTGTGGGGTATTGTTTTTTCATGCGGAGAACAGGTGCCTCAACTGCTGGCGATGGAGATAATGAACGAACACACTTTTCTTTTTCACTGAAAAAACGATTGGTTTATTAAAACAGAAACCAAGCGGCAGATTGGCAGACCTGCTTCCGTCTGGTGCCATTCAGCTTTCTCGTTTACTCTGAGCTGAATGTTAGCCATAGACCTGGCTGATTTGCTTCGAACCGTTTCATACCAAACTTAGAAATAATTTACAAAGTTTCCGCTTGCGCACTTTTGTTCGTTCACAACCTGTTCGAAGTCATTCGTCATTTTAGTCAAATGTACCCCATGAGGGTAGTTTAAAAACACATTCAACTCACACGTGAAAATAATCTAAGAGGTGGTCTCTCTTAACTCCCACACAGACACTATGGAAACTCATAAAGGCAAGTTCATTAGATCAATTTTTTTACAACTTGAAAAATGCATACGTTTCCACGTTGTGTCACATGAGGCGACATGAAGTGGCTGAAGCAGAAATTAGCAACTTTCATACTTTTAAGACTTCCAGGAAGGATTTTATGAAATAAGAGATTTTGTCGCTGTGACACTCACAACCTTAAAAAGTAAAAAAATAACATTGCAACACATTTTTTCTGTGTGCTCGCAGGCCCGCCTCGTCAAGAAATTTTTCAAATGAAAATAAGATTTTTACACTATAATACTGTACAATCCTAATTTTACAACTGCATAGCCTACGCTCCACCAGTAGTCTTCCACCATTGCGTTTGACATATCAAAATGGCTTCCAAACAATTATGTACAGTAACACTATGTGTGTATGAGATCCAATTCGCTGGGATCCCCATCCTTACAGCAAGTAAATTGATCCACGAGGGCATGAAGAAAAATAAACTTTCATTCGAGAAGGCTGTACTTGACGCGTTGGATATCGAGAAAAAAGTCTTTGGCTTGGTCCGGCTGGAGACGACTGCACGCTGTGTTGGCCTGGCTACACGTTGGTGCAGTCCTCCTCCTCCAGGATGCCGTTGGCGCCGTGGGCGCCGTTGGCGTGGCGGGCCGGGGTCACGATGAGCATGGGCACGGTCTCGACGTTGGAGTGCCTGCCGAGGTGCACGATGACGGAGCGCGTGCTGGGCCGCGTGTTGGGCGCGTGGGCCTGCATAGCGCCCCTGCCCTTCCACAGGCGGCAGCTGAACGTGCGGTGGAACTCTTTCCGAAACTTCTCTGCGAAACAGGAAGACAGAGAACGGTTTACGTCTCACGGGGCACCGCGTACGAGTTGGAGTGAGGCAGATAGGGACGAAAGCCGGTGCGGCCTCACCACTCATGAAGTTGTAGATGAGCGGGTTGAGCGCGCTGTTGGCGTAGCACAGCCAGTGCGAGAGCAGCGAGAACGCCACCGTCCACTCGTTGGACTGCATCTCCATGGTGTACCTGCAACAACAAGGCACACCTTTCTAAGATGGGCGCAGCGGAGCGTAGCCGCAGAGCGCCTGGCAGGTAGGCAACGCGGCAGCCTCCCGTGCGTGGAGCGCGATGTGTTGCCTACCTCGCAGGCGGCCTGGCAGGTAGGCAACGCGGCAGCCTCCCGTGGCAGGGTCGACATGAGCCCCATCCCGATTGAGCCCCGACGACCTGAGCCCCGACCAGAGCCCCGTTTGAGCCCGACTTGAGCCCCGACTCGAGCCCCGACTGAGCCCCGATGGCCAGAGCCCCTACCTGAGCCCGGTTTGAGCCCCGACCTGAGCCCCATTTGAGCCCCACTTAAGCCACACGCCAAACAATTCCATTTTTGAACTTTTTAGTGAAGATTTTGCGTCATATTGCAACTTTTTTGGCGCGGGGCTCAAATGGGGCTCAAACGGGGCTCAGGTCGGGGCTCAAAACGGGCTCAGGTCGGGGCTCTGGCCATCGGGGCTCAGTCGGGGCTCGAGTCGGGGCTCGAGTCGGGCTCGGCCGGGGCTCTGCCGGGGCTCAGGTCATCGGGGCTCAATCGGGACGGGGCTCATGTCGACCCTGCCCCTCCCGTGCGTGGAGCGCGATGTGTTGCCTACCTCGCAGGCGGCCTGGCAGGTAGGCAACGCGGCAGCCTCCCGTGCGTGGAGCGCGATGTGTTGCCTACCTCGCAGGCGGCCTGGCAGGTAGGCAACGCGGCAGCCTCCCGTGCGTGGAGCGCGATGTGTTGCCTACCTCGCAGGCGGCCTGGCAGGTAGGCAACGCGGCAGCCTCCCGTGCGTGGAGCGCGATGTGTTGCCTACCTCGCAGGCGGCCTGGCAGGTAGGCAACGCGGCAGCCTCCCGTGCGTGGAGCGCGATGTGTTGCCTACCTCGCAGGCGGCCTGGCAGGTAGGCAACGCGGCAGCCTCCCGTGCGTGGAGCGCGATGTGTTGCCTACCTCGCAGGCGGCCTGGCAGGTAGGCAACGCGGCAGCCTCCCGTGCGTGGAGCGCGATGTGTTGCCTACCTCGCAGGCGGCCTGGCAGGTAGGCAACGCAGCAGCCTCCCGTGCGTGGAGCGCGATGTGTTGCCTACCTCGCAGGCGGCCTGGCAGGTAGGCAACGCGGCAGCCTCCCGTGCGTGGAGCGCGATGTGTTGCCTACCTCGCAGGCGGCCTGGCAGGTAGGCAACGCGGCAGCCTCCCGTGCGTGGAGCGCGATGTGTTGCCTACCTCGCAGGCGGCCTGGCAGGTAGGCAACGCGGCAGCCTCCCGTGCGTGGAGCGCGATGTGTTGCCTACCTCGCAGGCGCTCGCAACCATGACCGCTCCCTTTTGCTCGCTCACTCGGCGCCGGGCAAGGGTTCATGTACTCAGGATGCTCTGAGGGTTGCTTACAGCCCTTGGTGCCCCGTGGGGCCCCGAACCAAGGCCGCCGGTCCCGCCCTTTATGTTGATGGCCTCTGAATCGGCTGCCTGACGGCGTGGCGGCGTGGCGGCGGCCTGGCCCTTGCACGTAACCCTTACATTAGACCAGGCCGCCGTGTGCGGTAGGTTGCGGCCGGGGGACGGAGGAGCGCCGGGAGTCGGTGGTGGGGGAAGGATGAAAGAGTTGATGAGAAGGGTGCTAATGGTGGTGGGGCGAGCATTGTCCGCGCGGCGCAGGAAGCGGGGTGAGGGTGAGGCCCTTGGGGCCGTCGGGGCGGAAAGGGGATGCGGCCAATCCCCGCCGCCAAACACCCCGCCGCGCCCCGCCCCGCCCAGCCATAAACCACAGGCCTGATGATTCTATTCCGCCAGTAAAAACGCCTCCGCCGTGCCGGGCCGCACCGGGGCGCGGGGATGGGCCGCACCGGCCGCACCGGATCCGGCACGGCCCGGCGGGCAGCGCAGCACTCCGGTCTGGATGTCGTGATGAAGCTGCACTCAGCAGCCGCGCCGAGCCGCGCCAGGCCGGATCCACCGCAATGCAGGCCGTGAAGGGCGACTTTGTCTTGGCGGCCTGGCGTCTGGCAGCCCCCAGCGCCCCCCAGCGCCCCGCAGCCCGCAGTGGAGTCCCAGTCCCAGTCCTCCCGCAGCGCCCGCAGCGCGCGTTCAAACACGGCGGCGGTGGCGCGCGGCGCGCGGCGCGCCCTCGGGCACCCTCGGGCCGCGGAGAGAGCGAGAGGCAGAGCGAGAGGAAGAGAGAGGGGATTCTTTTTGTTCCGCATTCGGCTCCGCCGCTCCGCCGCATTGCCAGGTGTCCCTTTTCCGCTGCAGGCGTCGCGTGGCGTCGCGTGGCGCGCAGCGCGCACTGTGCGAGAGGGCCGCGGATTACTCGTGCCACTCCTGACTCCATTCCCCCTCCCCCTACCCCCTGGCCGGATCCCCGCAGGACCCTGGAAACTACGCGGGGCCGTGTGAAAACGCCGCGCCGGCCGTGGCCAACCACGGTCAACCACGGCCAACGGCGCCGACTCCGGGAGGGGCTCCAGGGGGATGAAGCACAACAAATTGGCTCAAGTGTGAGCGACTTTGGCTTAGAGACTTAGAGTGTGCGGCGCGGTGGCCGGTCGGCCGCACGTGAAGTTGGCATCCCTGGAGATTCTCTCACGGCTTCCGAGGGGTTTTAAATTCTGTTGTGGCTTTGAAACGGCTTTGGCCATTTTCCTCCAACTTTTCATGCACCAACCGAATTGAAAAATATTCCCCTCCTTTTACACACTCTTGGGGGGGGGGGAGGGGCGGCTGGGTCACTCACACACACACACGCACACAAAGAGAGAGAGAGAGACACACACACATATGCGAAGGACGGAATTTGTTCGGACGTCCTTCGGGGCGCGGGCGGCGCGGGCGGCGAGGGCGACGCGGGCCCGCGGGGCACACGCACAGCATGGCAAGCTCCAGCTCCAGCTCCACCCCGGCGTATCACTTACAATCGCGGCGCCTCGCTGGAAATTGACTTTGTCGGAGCCCTCCAAGCATGGGGCGAGGCGGGCCCAGGCTGGGCCTCTCTATGCGTGCCGGTATCACGCGGGCACATCTATCCCTCTATCCACCTTTCGCTCTCCTTACCCATCGCGTACTACGTCAGTCTGTCCGCTCTATCCGTCACCAGCCTAGCTCCGCTCTCGGAAAACTGACCCTCAAAAAATGTCTCGACCGAAATTTTAGTTTTAATGTATTTCGTGTGAAATACATACACCCCGCCCCACCCCACCCTGCTCATCGGCCCTCGACGTCCAACAGTCCAGATGAGCCGGCAGTGAAATTTGTCAAAGGACAGTGCAGATACGCGAGGAGGTACTTCCCGGCCAAACAGTGGCAAGTCAAAACGCGCGTCGCCCCGCACAGCCACCACAGTGTGAAATGCTCGATTCCGGCGAACAGCCCTTTCTGGCCTGTGCGCCGTGCCGTGCCGTGCCGTGCCGTGCTACCCGAGTGGCAACGGCCCCGCAGCGAATCGAGACGGGCCTTGCTCCCAAAGTTTGGTGACTCGTCATATTTCGAGCCACCTGTGCTGCCTGCCGGCGCGGCCGACGGCACCCTCCTCCCCTCCCCCTCCCCCTCCCCTCCCCCCTCCCCCTCCCCCTCCCCCTCCCCCTCCCCTCCCCCTCCCCCTCCCCTCCCCCTCCCCCTCCCCCTCCCCCTCCCCCTCCCCCTCCCTTCCCCAACCCCGTCACAGGACCTACCAGAAAGGAGCGCACCGAGCCACTACGAGCGCACGAAGCGCGCACGGCCTTCAAAAGTTTGCCTTCAAGGTGAAAATTTTTCGGCAGCACTTAGTTAACTTGATGTTTTTCATCGGGGGATGGGGGGCGTACGTGCGCTTTCAACGGCCATTCTAGTTGGCGAAAATGGTGCGAACTATGCGTCGTTTGAATGCACTGCAAATCGCTCAAGCTGAAACGGAGTGCTGACTCCTTGACCCCGATCTTCCTCCACTCGCGCGCATCTCCAGCCTGCTCCAGCTCGCCCAATCCTCTCCGAAAGGCCTCGCCGCTAACGCCCGTCTCTCTCGCACCGCCACACCATGGGCCGGCTGGGTGGGAACATCGCAAGATTAACGCAAACGCGGCACAAGAACATCGGACGCCCATCTTCGAGTAGGGTTTCTTTCAGTGCGCTCTAAAAGGGCGCGCCGAAGGTCATCCACCGCGATAAGAGTTTCTCTCTCTCTCTCTCTCTCTCTCTCTCTCTCTCTCTCTCTCTCTCTCTCTCTCTCTCTCTCTCTCTCTCTCTCTCCCTCCTCGCTCTCCCTCTCTCTGCCTCGTGAGTGCGTGTAACGAGTCTTGGATGACGTGCTCGCCTGCCTAATGCCCCTCTCCACCTTTTTACTCCAGCGAGGACTCCAGCACCGCCAATGGCCGTCCCATTGCTCGCTCGCCCCATCGCGATGCACTCGACGCCGCCACTGCACTGCGCTCGCAGCGACAGCCAAACTCTAAAGAGTAGGAAGTTTGGTCGTACCAACAAAAATTTGGTTGCTGACCGGGTAGCATCGTTTTGACCACTGTCAAGTACCACTGTCAGTACCACATGACTTCTTAGTCAATAAACGGCGATAACTAATCGTGATCGTTTCAGTCGATTTGCTTCAACCTTATTTTTTAACAGAGCTGGGACCAAAGGGGACGTCGCGCAGCGGGCCAGCTGTTCAAAGGCACGTTTTCAGATCAGAACGCAGGGACTCGGATCAACCGCTGGAGTCCGCCGCGTTCGAAGTGTAGTCTGTTGATACTCTCCTGTGTTTGCTGAGCGAAGCGAAGCACCCTGTTTGGGATTTTGAATAGCTCATTTGTCCGATCCCCCCCCCCGATACCTTTAGTTTACAAGAGGTATCTTCCTCTGTTTATTTTTACTATATTCATATGCGTATACATAGTCCAAGCTCCATAGTCCAAGCTCTATAGTCCAAGCTCTATAGTCCAAGCTCCATAGTCCAAGCTCCATAGTCTAAGCTCCATAGTCCATATTCTATAGTCCAAGCTCAATAGTCCAAGCTCAATAGTCCAAGCTCCATAGTCGTACGCCAAGCTGCCATTTAGTTTGAGAATAAGATCGGTCGAGAGTAGGGAAAGATCTGTCACGAGTAGAGAAAGATCTGTCACGAGCCCGTTAGGTTAGGTTAGGATTGGTTGGACCATTTAGTTTGAGAATAAGATCTGTCGAGAGTAGGGTAAGATCCTGTCACGGGTAGAGTAAGATCTGTCACGTGCCCGTTAGGTTAGGTTAGGATTGGTTGGAACATTTAGTTTGAGAATAAGATCGGTCGAGAGTAGGGTAAGATCTGTCACGAGTAGAGTAAGATCTGTCACGAGCCCGTTAGGTTAGGTTAGGATTGGTTGGACCATTTAGTTTGAGAATAAGATCTGTCGAGAGTAGGGTAAGATCTGTCACGGGTAGAGTAAGATCTGTCACGAGCCCGTTAGGTTAGGTTAGAATTGGTTGGAACATTTAGTTTTAGATTATTAAATAGCCTTCCGTCGATTCAAGGAGAAACCAACCATTGCGGAATCACAATCCTTCGCGCAAAAGCATACTTCCTGGCTATCACCCCCCCCCCCCCCCCCCCCGAAAAGAAAAGAGGCTCGTTTTCAAAATAAACACATCCAAATTTACTACTGATGAAAATGCATTTCCATCTCCAGCAGAATCCAGCTCAGCATCGAGGCCGAAGGCCTTCCCCTGGCTAGTAAATTACCTAACCTAACCTAACAACCCATGCGCGCACAGCAGGGTTGCGTCTGCCTTGCCGCTGCGCTTTCACCTGCAGCGGGGCGGCGACACGGCGACGCCGGCCGGGGCACTGCCTCGCATTGCCTCGCATTGCCTTCATTTGCACGTAGATTGACTGGACGTGAAACGAGCCCCGCCTCCCCGATCCGCGCCCCGCGCCCCGCCCAGGCCTGCCCAGAGGACCCTCAGCGACCGTTGATTCCCGTAAAGGGGATGGAACGAGGAAAAAATTCAATTTCAGTTGCTTTTACTCTTATTATTGCGAAAAAAAAAATGCTGAAAAGAGATGTGACTCACAACAAACGCGTTTAAAAACAGACGATTAAAAACTGCGTATTAAATTTACCGTGCTTACAGACTTTATCCGATTAGCATCTATAAATGTATAAACACGCGTTTTGTTTGCAGGTCGCGGAGGGTTCTCCGTGATGCGGTGGGTTACTTCCGAGTATCGCCGGCTGGATCTCTCTCTGGATTTACAGTGATGATAGGGGAGCATCTGCGGTGGCGGTCGGTGGCGGCGTGCCCGGGGAGCCAGCTGCAGACAAATCGATGGCACAAAGGGCGCTGTGGCGGCGCGCTCGGACCGCGCGGACTGTGGGGGCGGCCGGCGGGGACGAGGGGTGCCTCTTAGCGGGAATGAAATGTCTAATAAAAAAGTTGGGCTCACTGACTGGCCTCGTCGCGCGGGGAGCTTCCTGCCCCTGGCCTAATCTCTGCCACGAGATGGGCCGGCACTTCTTGTCCGAGTCGCCGAGTCCGCCGAGTCACACGGCGGACGTCGCCAACTTCCTCGCTCGCCAGCAAGAATGCCGCCGGGGCCTCGGCCAGGGCCGCCGAACTCCTACACTCTGAACGCCACCGAGGGGACGGTCAGCGCGGTGATGGCGGTCGCAAAACAGTCACCTCCAACTTTTCCGTTCCGCGCGGCTCGGGCGGTACGGGCGGCACGGGCCCGACGCAGGTCGTGGTACAGCCACAGGTTGAGGACGACGACGGCCTCGCAACAATGACGGAACGAATCTGGCTCGGCAGTGACGGGAGGGGAGCCTCTCAGCAAGGGGTGCTCTCCAATTTTTTATTTTTCGGGGAAAGCATCGCAAAGAAAGAGGACGACTGAGTGTGAGTGAGCGAATGTGTTGGCGTGAACGGGAACCGTCGGCGCGCTCCCCGTTGTGTCCAGTCCTAAGTTTTCCATCTCGCAAACGATCTCGGAAAGCCGTCGTCGACTTTTGTTTTTGGGTGTGCCACTCAGGGATTCCGACGCCGAGGGGGCGGGCCGGGCCGGGCCGGGCGTCGGGGCGGCGCACAGTGGGCCAGAAGACCGGCGGAGGCGGCCAAAACTCTAGACGCGTTTTGAGCTCTAGAGTCGCTATGCAGGACTCGAACGGAACGTGTGACCCCACCAATGGATTGCTCTCCGAACGAGGAATCCATTGGTGGGGTCACACGTTCGGTTCGAGTCCTGTTCAGCGACTCTGGAGCTCAAAACGCCTCTAGAGTTTTGGCCGCCTCCACCGGTCTTCTGGCCCACTGTGCGGCGCGCCTAGGAGCCGCCCAGCCCGGGGAGTCCGAGAGCAGCAGGCTCCTTCGGAGAGTCGCTTCCCTCGCTCTGTCTCTCCCGCACCTCCACGGGACGCTCTACGAGTGCGAGAGAGACAGAGCGACGGAACCGACTCTCGGAATCAGGCTAGCCGCCGGGCTGCCCCCGGGCTGCTAATTTGCGTGTGTGACCGCCTAGGTAGTCGGTGCGGACAGCCGACAGGTGGTGCGGGTGGTGGAGGAGGCGGGCAGGTGGCGGAGGGGGGGGGGGGGGGGGGGGTGTGGGTGGAGGACTATTACAGCGGGGTAAGAGCGTAGAGTGGTGGTAGGGGGGAAGCAGCTGAGTTACGTCACTTCTCGGAGACATGCTCCGCGTCGCTCCGTCGCTCCGTCGCTCCGCGGACTGTCAAAGTCAGGTCGGGACGGCGACGCGGCGACGCACGGAATGCCTGGCCCGGTCACGCGACACACGCGACGCGTGCCGCGGGCCACGTGCGGGCCGTCGGGGCGAAGGAGAGGGGGGGGGGGTGCGGCGGGGGTCGCGAACGGCACGGCGTTGTCGTCGAGGCGCTTTGACTGACGGCAGGGCACGCGAAACGTTACCGGAACGGAGCCAGGGGTTGCTCGCGGAGGGCGCTGCCACACTGCCGCGCTGCCGAGGACGCGGCACAGGACACGACTCGGAAGGAGCAGCACACAAAGGCTGGAGAAAGAGAGGCAGGGAGAAAGCGTCCTCGGGGAGCGCCTTGGCAAGGGGGTATTCACTCCTAAAAGTGGTCGACATACTAATACCTTTTGAAAAGTATTACATGAATTACATCCTATTAGCTAATCTGTCAATTACAGGTATTACCTCACTATTACGGCTATTACAGACCTATTACAATACTATTTCACCAATTACAGGCGATTATATCGAAGAAAATCGACGATTACAGAACTATTAGAGAGCTATGAAAGCAATTACTGACTATTACATCAAATACAGTCATTACATAAATTACACAGTATTACACACCAATTACAGCTAATACATAACAATTACAGCTATTTCATAACAAATACCGTCACAACAACGCTCTTTTCTGACATTTTAAACGATTTCTGTGTTACTATTACCACCTATTACACATCAATTACACTCCTATTACACCTATTACGGGGCCATTATAGGTAATACACCATATTACAGCAATTACACAGATATTACCTATTACAGGAACTATTACAGGGCTATTACACACCCTTCGACCGACTAATACCTGAGTGAATACCCCCTTGCGCCTTGGTGTGCCCGGCCCGGCCCGGCCCGGCCTGCACTCACATTAGAGCCCTACCTGTGGCGGGCGGAGAGAGCGAGACGGAGGGAGTGATCTGCCGAAGAAGCCCCAAGGACCCCGAACACATTGAGGGAAAGATACCAACTCTGTCTCCGTTTTGATCGGCATGATGCCCGGGCCGAAGAGACTCCACAATAAACCTCCACGTGTGGTGACTGGTGACAGGCGCCTGGCTCGCACCGCCACGTCCTGTCACGCTCCCGAGGGACGTCGAGGGGATATCACGCAGCGCATTAGACCGAGGGAGGCTAAAACCTGTCGCTGTCGAGCCGAGCGTGGCTCGAGCGTGGCCAGGGCCCGGCCGCCCATTCCCTGCTGGACATGCTGATGTGTCGCCGCTTTAAGCAGTCCGATTCCGAACGGTGCTTTCATCGCTCTGCCTCACTCGCAACCCCTCATCGGCGTACGAGAGAGACAGAGCGACGAAAGCACCGTTCGGAATGAAACCAGCCCTTTACTGGACACCGTCCCTCCGGAATAGGGTCGAGCGAGTGGCACGCGCACAGCTGGACCAGCCCTCTCTTTCCTTCCCTCCCCCTGCCCCGGCCCCTCGCGCCTTGCCGCCAATTTGACAGCAGCTTGGGCGAAAGGCGACGAAAGCGAAATGAATGGACGTGGCTCGCTATTTTCAGCACCACTGCGGCCAGGCGGCCAGGCAGGGCGGCCAGGCAGGGCGGCCAGGCAGGGCGGCCAGGCAGGGCGGCCAGGCAGGGCGGCCAGGCAGGGCGGCCAGGCAGGGCGGCCAGGCGGTGGCTGGGGGTGCCCGGAGTGGCGCCGTGAAATGAGCAGGCTGGCTGCGTTCGAAGCGAGCCTGTGGAACCCACGAAGGCGCGGGTGGCGCGCCGTGGCTTCGGACGCGGTCCGCTAGGGGCGGGGCGGGCCGAGGGGCGGGCGGCGCTGCAGCCGCGTTTGTCACCTTTACAGCACCTGGCTGCCATTCACAAGCCACACTGCAAAGGCGCCCTCAATAAGTTGGCAGCGACTACCCGCCAGCTCTCGCGGCTCCGGGTCCCAGCTGGGCTTGCTTTGAGAGAGTTCAGGACGTTCATCGCAAACATGGGAGGAGGCGCGTGGTGGAGGTTCTTTCTCGGAACCGCTGAGGCAAGCCGAGTGCAGTCAGCGAGCGAGTCAGCTTGCGCAGAGACCCGTCCGACCCGCCCCTGTTTGTGAGCGGCTTGAGCTACGGCGGCCTACCCCTGAGGCGGGACCCACTGACGCGGTGCCCTCTGGCGGCCGAAGTTTGCGGCGATGTCCGGCTGAGGAACACGCCGCGCACCTACTGGCACCTACCGCAAGATGCTGAGCAGGTGCACCGGCAGGTAGCAGATGGCGAACAGCAGCACGACGGCGACCAGCATCTTGGCGGCCTTCCGCCTGGAGCGGGTGCGAACCCGCCAGCCGCTGCGTCTGCCCTGGGCGAGGCCGTGGCCGAGGGTCTGGCCGGTGCGGCCGGTGCGGCCCACGGCGTCCACCGTCATGGCCGCTGCAACAACAAACAGTCTCAGTGAGTCTCTGTGACGGATTCGCCGCGGAAGCGGCACTTGGGGACGCGGTTCGTAAACTTGAAGAGTAACGAGGCCCTGAGATGTAAGTCAGTTTGAGTTAAAGCGGCTCTGGTGACGGTATTTCAGAAAGTGAGTAAGCGCCCGCACGCCGCGCGTCGCGCTGGATATACGAGCACGGGGCCCAGGCTGGCCTCGGCACACAGCAGCGGCGGCAGCGGGGATATGAAACTTGCAGTCCACTTGGCGCCCGGCCGCCACCCCACCCCCACCCCCACCCCTCACCCCGCCAGCCCCAGGCACCGCCTGCCAGGCAAGGCCGGCCCGCTCCGTCGGCTCTGCCAGCTCCGCCAGCTCTGCCGGCCAACTCGCTAAGTCCGTTGCACCCAAGTCCGCACGGGGATGAGCGAGCACGGCGCTAACGCCGCGCTCGGGGGGTTTTGGCTGCTCTTCAGCTTTCGGCGCGGTGCTCACTCGCTGCGGGAAAACACTCGCCGATAAGCCGGCAATGGGAACGGATCGGCAAAGACAACAGCGCCATGCGCCGCTGCGTGTGATTTCCGTTACGGGAATGGGGGCAATATGCTGTGAGCCTAGCCCCGCTAGCACTCCTCGCAGCCTGCGGGGCAATATGATGTGAGGCCAGCCCTCGTCGCAGCTTGCAGCGAAAAACTAATACCTGGTGGGCGACGCTGCAACTGTGAGAAATCCAGCGTGGATAAGAGAGAACTTTTGCGATCAATAAAAAGTGTTCTCTGGAGCGCGAGCAATGTGTTACCACGTTCACATTTTCTTACAGGGCGAAGCATGTCCGCTGAAGTGACCTAACCTAACCCCACCTAACCTTATCTCACCTAACCTCACCTAACCTAACCTCACCTTCCTCCGGGAAGTACTTCTCGTCCCACAGCACCCTGGCGATCTGGCAGTAGGCGATGAGCATGAAGCCCAGCGGCAGGAAGTACAGGAACAGGCTCTTGACGCAGTGGAACACCATGTCCGTCTCCGGCGTCCACGAGGGGCAGCACTGCGTCAGCAGCACCGAGTCCACGTTGAACTTTTTCTGCTCCGTGTGCAGCACTACCAGCTCGGGAATGTCTGAAAAAGAACGGAAAAACCATTTAAATTCCAATTAAAATGAAAAATAGAAAGGTTAAAATACGGTGTTAGGAAATCCTATTTTTTTCATCGCAATTGTTGTTAATTCTGATGGAAGCGAGCCTGGAAATGAAGGGTCGCGTCCCGGACGCTGTGGATGATCGTCGACGGGAGGCCACTAATTCCGACAAAGTAATGACACCCCTTCCCTCCCCCACCTCCTACCCCTCCCCCTCCCCCTCGCACGCGCCCACGGCCCACCGCCTCTAACGACCCCTTTCGGCCCCTGCTCGGTCACAAACCGAAGGCCCCCTGCTGGCCGCGTGCCCCGCGGTGCGAGGCGAGCAGTCCGCGACTTTAGGGGGGGCCTTGCTACTGAGGCGAGGTGAACAGTCCGCGACTTTGGGGAACCCTTACTACTGAGGCGGGCAGTCCGCGACTTTGGGGGACCCTTACTACTGAGGCGGGCAGTCCGCGACTTTGGGGAACCCTTACTACTGAGGCGGGCAGTCCGCGACTTTGGGGGACCCTTACTACTGAGGCGGGCAGTCCGCGACTTTGGGGAACCCTTACTGCTGAGGGGAGTACTCCGCGACTTTGGGGGACCCTTACTACTGAGGCGCGTCGGGAGTCCACGCACGCAGCTGGCCGCATGCAGGTCGCGCGTGGAGCGTGGCCCCGCTCCGCTCGGACGCTGGGGCTGGTTCAGCCGTAAGTCAGACCTGCCCCGGTTGCCGCTGTTGCCGCTACCGCTAACCTTCCCGCACGGCGCCGCACGGCCACACCAAGGTTTATGACGCAGTAAGGCAGGAAAGCTCGGCATAGTTTAAGCCAACGCCCGACCCGGCCGCCGCTTTCGCGCACGAGAGTGTATGTGTGTATGCAGGCGACCGGCCGAGACCACACCCCGCCACAACACCACACACCTGCTGCTCACACCTCCCCGGCAACGCGGCGACGCGGCGACCCCATAACAAAGTTTCTCGGCGCACAGCGAGACGTTTCGTGGCGCCGGCGTTTTATCATTATGGAAAACGTCAGAATGAAATTACCTAATGGGTTGTTCGTCGCACTCCTGCTCATTCAGCGGGAGCGAGAAAAATTCGATTACCCGTCCGTAATGAGAAAGTGTCCGAGACTCACCGAACAGGAGTGCCAGCGCCCAGATGAAGATGATGGCCCTCTTGGCCCTGCTGATGGTGGAGCGGAACTGCAGCGGGAAGCAGATGGCGTACCAGCGCTCCAGGGAGATGAAGGTGAGCGTCAGCACAGACACGGCCACGGACACGGTCTGCAAGCAGAACAATGCTGGCTGTCTCTATGATCGCTCTGTGAGTGGGCGAGTGTGTGAGTGTATGAGTGCATGCACACTCCAGCGCCCTTGTTACTGGGGCGTAGTTGCATCCGATGCACTGCCTACCCACAGGGCGCACCGCATTGCGCATGCCACGACTCCTGTGTAAGTCCGTCTGTCTGTCTGGCGGCTATTAGCTATCCCTGCAGCACCCGCTGCCGCTCAGGTGGAGCAAAACCCATGATTATCGATGCGAGGGTTGGTTGGGGGTAGTTTGCGGCCGACCTGCACTGCTTACACTGCTTTGCTGTTGTCGTGGACAACACCGCATCGAGCAGCATCCACGGCAAAAAGACAAGGACTGGCTGGTCGCTTGGCCAGCGTAGGTCAGCGCAGGGGCGCGAGAGAAAGAGCGATGACACTCTGCCGAGGGGCCCAATGGGAATATTACTCCACACGTGGCGGGCATCTGCAGCGGCCAGCACTTCTTCCCTGGAAAGCGTGACAGTCCGCGCATTGTCCCGTGGAACGACTCACTTTCGAGCGCACTTTGGTCTTATTTTATTTACCTCTTTGTTTATAGCAGACCCCTCACTGTGAGTGGCCACCCGGACCCGCGGCCTGGACCCGCGGCACTCGCGATGGTCTGATTCGGAACAGTGCTTCGTCGCCCTGTCTCTCTCGCACTCGTACGGGACGCCCCATGAGCGACACTGTGCGGAATTATCCCTCCGAATGAATGATCTCCCTAGTGCCCGGGGCCGTGCCGAGGCCTGCACATGTTTGCCTAATGGCGGCTTGTCTTACTGGTGACAGCGCCAGGCCGCGGGGGTTAAGCCCTCAATGCCAGACCATTACCCGGAGCCTACACGCTGCCGCCACATCAATAGGGCTACACCGAAAAAAAACCTCATGGCCTACGACGTTTACGGGAAAAGCTGTTGAAGTTACAGTAATTCACTGGAAAAAATGGTATAAATTTCACGCTTCGGATTCTTGACGTCGCGTTTTCTGCATAGCGGCCGTGTGACGTGGAAGTGACTTTGTGAGGGGTGAATTCAGCAAAGAGCGCCCAGTATGGAGGTGGAGGCGCATATCCGTAATCCACCAATTACAGACTACCTGCTCACAAATCCGCCGCGTCTCGAACGAGGAGTGCTTCCGACGGCTGGGGGGTGGGTGGCGTGGGTGTCGGAGTGATAACTGGACTCACTGTTTGCGTCAGCTTTGCGACGAGGAGGATGGGATTCCGAAAGAAGTGTCGGAATTCAGTTAGCAGACTTACGTTTGTTGGGGATGGGGGGAAGGCCCCGGGAGTTAAGGGTCGGGAACCTTTCCTCCCTCCTCTCCCTCCGTCTCTCCCTCTGTTTCCCCTCTCTGACTTAGTTAAGGCAGTGAGGCGGGCAACTTCCAGCCCGCTCTTCATTCACTGCTATCAGCCCCGCCGACCGGCTGCAGCAATTTGCCCCGCCAGATATTGAAATAAATGAAGACACAGCTCAGCGCGGTGCGCATGGCGCGTACGCTTCGGCTGCTGCTCGGTGGATCCCCCCTTGTTGGCAAGGGGGTTGATTCCAGTGCTCTTTCTCTCTCGATCTAGGACTTGTTTGGGACGCCCCGTGAATGCGAGAGAGACAGAGAACCGTTTGGAATCACTGTGCCGCGCTTCGCCGCCACCACAAGGGTTGCAAGGAGCGTGGGGGAGGTTGGCGGCGTTTCGAGGCAGAGAAGAAAGGTGGTTCGAGAAGGGAGAGAGAGAGACAACAAAAGAGGACACAAAAATGCCGCAAACTGCGGGCATATGAGAAATAACGCCCCACGAGCCGCGTGCGCTACGTTCCGGCAATATGCTCACTTTGGAAGAGCCGCGCTGGTTGCGACGCACTTACGGCCTGTGTGAGGATGCCTTGCTTCCTCAACTCGTGTCGAAATGGCGTGAAATCAAGCACTTTCCTCTTGTATTCATTCTGGAGGCCCGTCCCCCAGTTTTCGGCCACTTTTGAAGTTACTTGGTTGAAATCGATGCTCAGGTCATCAGTAGTATGGTACCTCTAAGCTGCGGGTCGCCATATTTGTTCACCCAAACCCAAACTTTCCGCTAGGACAAATGTGGAGTTGGTCTTGGTCAGAGTAAGGCTGAGGTCAAGGATCGGCAGGTACCGCTTGTTTTCTTGATGAGGAGGAGGCAAAATATCCCTGTTTCAAGGATGGGTGGATACGGTTTTCTGTGTAAAACACAGACCGCACTTCCCTTGGCGTACTTATCACACGTCGCTCACAAAACCCGGGAGTGTAGCAAGCCTGAGTCGTTTTTTGCATAAAAGTGCAGTGCACGTTTCCCCGCTCCATAAATTCCATTGCGCGATTCGTCCCGCGCGTCGCGAGGCGAATGTTTACCGGGGTGGACATTAATTTCTCGTCGCATTCTGTAAGGACGCGGCGCGCGAGTCTGGTCACGAACTGCGGTCCCCATTCCACCGCCACCGAAGTGGCCTATCTGACTAGGCATCAAACGACGAAACTGACTGCCAAGCTATTCAAATTAAATGGGGAACTTCTTTTGTAAGAACTAAAAGCGTATTCTTTACTGTTGGCTGAAATTGGGTTAGTTAAATCTTCGTCGCAATTCGCTCCAACGGAGATTCGTGTGACTGCGAGACGGTGTGTCTACTTGTCCCTTCTCCACTTGCCGACACGAAGCAAACGACTCCAGTTGGCGGGACGTCGTCACGGTGCGCATCCACGGCATCCCATGCAGGGTGCTTCCGAACAGTGCTTTTGTCTCTCTGCCTCTCTCGCACTCATGGGGCGTCCCGGCGCGGCGCGAGAGAGACAGAGAGACGCTGCGCGGGCGCGGCAAATGTGCGTTTCCGCAGATTGACGCCTTGCCCCGCCCGCCGCCCCACGTCCCCCCGCGTTGCGCCGTTCCCTGCGTTCGCAACCCCGCCGCCTCAAACTTATGCAGTTTCCCCACAGGAGGAGCTTTCCCTCGCAGATTTTATGGTGGGGCGGACCTTGCCGTGCCCCGGCCGCCCGGCCGCGCGCAAAAACGCAATATCAAAGTTAATCAGAGCGCTCAGCACGCGGCGACTGGCAGCCTGGCGGGAGCGCGCGAGGAGTGTGCGCGCTGCGCGGGTCGCGCATCGGGGAGGAAGGCTTTGTGCGGGCCTGTCGGCCTTTCGGCCAATTTCCCCCACCAAACTTAATTAGTGACTTTTGGCAGTGTTCGTAAGAGCGTGGCGCGCGATTGCCGAAACGAGCAGAGGGAGGGAGGAGGAGTATCAGAGTCTGGCGATTTTCGTGAGGGCACGGTGTGACGTTTGACCTATCCTGCCGGTGGGTCCCACGCGCGCCAGGACACCGTGAGGCTCCTGGATCCGCTTGCCGCGTCCCCACCGCCACTCCTCCCACCTCTCGATGTCACCTCCATGCTCCGCTGGACGAAAGTGATGATTTTTCCCCTGCAAGGCCGTACTGTGGAAATACAACATGCCGTCGGTACTTGGACAACTCAGCTGTCTCCCTGCGCCGCGCCACTGGCGAGTGCGTCCTTCTCTCTCCCTCTGCTATGTAGTGCATGTGTGCGAGAGTGTGAGGGCGGCAGCGGTGATGAATGTTTGGCTCACTTCATCACGTTGTATGGTTATTGATGCCCACTTTCGTGAATTAATTGGCGCGGGTGGCCATGAGTAAGAGCTGGCACATTTTCCCCCTTGTTCCCCTTACCCCTCCCCTGAGACCGGGGGGGGGGGGGGGGATGAATCGGCCCGCCGTTGATCTTGTAGACTTTGGCTGGCCGGGATGGCGATAGAGTCCGCCCGCTCCCCGAAGGCCGCAGCACCGCAACCGTCAATGCAAGGTCCTCCAATATTCAACGCCGCGCTGCCCGCACTGCAAGCCGCGGTCGGGCTTTAATTACCACTAATTACGAATCGAAGCTTCTCTGTATCGAGCAATACGATGGCCAACAGTGGTTTCTGCCTTTCTCGCACTTCCGCGGGGCTTCACGTGACGAGAGAGAGACGGCGCGCTGAAAATCAGCCTGCGGGCGGCAGCGCCGCACGGCGCGGGGAGGCGGAGGGATGACTCCGTTGTTCTTTGATTGCATTACACCGATTCCGATTGGCAGCGGTTGTTTGCTCTGCCTCACTTGCACCATATGCGGACCCTCTCTCTGAATGCGAGAAAGACCGAGCGACGACTGCGATGTGCGGAGTAAGCCGGTAGATCTCATTTGCATTTCACAAAGGATGTTGCGAGCCACTCTCACCACGGCACGGCAGCCTTTGACATGCGTCAGGCAGGAATACCCCGTCTCTTCCGGAGCAGCGATATGCTTGGACTATCGTTGCGCCGTCATGAGATTAATCGAAATCGACTGAGATTAATTAGTTTTCCGTCGTGCTGAAATAACGATAGAAGCACCGGGAATGATCAGTGAGACTTTGCTGAAAGTGGGTTGCATTTTGTTTTCTGTGTGGCGCCGTTTGAGAGGCTACAACTCTGGCGCCACGCCATGGTCCCCGACGTAAAGCCCTGGTCGCCTAACAGTGTTTGCGATGCTTGCGCACGGAGGCCGAGGCGAGGGAGTCGACGAGGCCCGAGGCGCTGGCCCGATGACTCGGTGACCCCCACGCTGCACGACCCGCGGCCACCTCCAAGGACGCCCCGGATCTCTCCCGACGGGGACTCGAACGACCCGTCCGTACCACCCGTCGATGAAAGGCATCTGCAGGAGTAAAACCTGTTGGTGTTCCCCTTTCCCCTCAGCCCCCGCGTCCCACTGATCCAATCACGCCACTATTCGCCAGATTTATCCTTGTCATTGGACTGACTCCAACGACACAGCCCTGTACGCAGTTTCCCAACACCAGTCACGCTCACTCGCACTCCTTGGCGTCCTAGGGGTGCGAGAGAGACAGCGCGACAAGGCCCCATTCACAGACGGACCCAGCCATGTTGTTAGGAGGCACAGTCATTACCGTTGATTGGATCGGGTCCCGTGGTTCTTGAGAACGTCGCAGTCTCGACAGGTCGGGGGACCATCATTTTTCGCTCTCGGATTCGCCCGCTCGCCCACGACACCTCTCCGGCCAGGCTTTTGCGCATGACAACAGTATAAGCTGCCGAAAATAAATCCATTTTTAATTTTGTATCGACTTTGGTATGATTACATACAGTGTCCTCGATAATCCCACCCACAGTTCTTCTCGCGAAAGTTTTGAAAGTGGAAGAAGACTGGCGAATCCTTGTTGACGGTAGGGATGGGCTGACGAAAAGTTGACCACGGGAAACGACGTCAAGCGAGCGAGAATGTTATTTGGGTCGTTAGAGAGAAGAGGCACCCCCCAGCCGGACGTTTAGTCTCGCCTGAGTAATACACTTGTCCGTGAGACCCTCCCCACTCACCACCATCTGCCGGCGACGCCCCCGCCGCGCACCAACGCCCAGGGGCGCCCAGGGGGTTGTGGAGAAGCGCCGCAAATCGTGCCCCGCCTCAGCCAACTGGATCACTGTCCCAGATACGGATGCTTCGCTAGTATCACGTCACGCTTGTTTCATTTCTTCCCAGTTCAAATGACGCCAATGGAACGGCTAGCTCGTGATCTTTCGTGCAAAGTGGTGGGGGATTTTTGGCTTTCGGTACACTCTACCAAAAATGTCCTGTAAATGCCGTTAATTTATTACCAGTTTTCACTGTAGGTCAATTCACAGCGTTTGCTGTGAACTAGTTCACGGCGTTCACTGTGATCTCGGTTACAGTGTTCACTGTCATCTGGTCCCCAGTAAACACTGTGAGTTTGACGCCGCTGAGCACCGAAGTACTGCAAATCAGGCTCCAATTCACGGCGTTTACTGTGGCCAGATCACAGTGAACACTGTAACCGAGATCACAGTAAACGCCGTGAACTAGTTCACAGCAAACGCCGTGAATTGCATAACAGCAAACATTGGTAATAAATTAACGGCGTTGACAGGACATTTTTTGTAGAGTGTACGAAAGTTCCGGAACTCAACGAAAGTACCTCTGCTTACAGTCCGCCCGTCGCGTCATAGAAAGAGATAATTTTACAATGACGCTTCTGCTCCTGCATGTCAGCCCGCATCGACAGGTCCAGGCCCAGTGGTTCCCAACCTTAGGGTCGCGACCCCAAGTGGGGTCGCGAAAAAATTTTAAGGGGTCGCGGCGAGGTAGCTGGGGTCGTGTTTTGGGCCGATTTTAAGCAGCCACTGCGTCTGATCGGAGGCGGGCATTTTGCTCCCTCAACGGGCAATTGGTCTTTGAACCATCCTTTAGCATGCCTTTGTTACGGAGTGTGATTATCAGTCTAAGTTTGGGAGCAGTATTGTCTCAAAGTTTACCAAAACGGTCAGAAATGTCTTTGAAAAATCGTGTTTTGGGCCAATTTAAAGCAGCCACTGCGTCTGACCCGAGGCGGTATTTCGTCCTCCTTCAACGGGCAATTCGTCTTTGAACCATCCTTTAGCATGCCTTTGTTACGGAGTGTGATTATCAGTCTAAGTTTGGGAGCAGTATTGTCTCAAAGTTTACCAAAACGGTCAGAAATGTCTTTGAAAAATCGTGTTTTGGGCCAATTTAAAGCAGCCACTGCGTCTGACCCGAGGCGGTATTTCGTCCTCCTTCAACGGGCAATTCGTCTTTGGACCTTCCTTTAGCATGCCTTTGTTATGGAGTGTGATTATCAGTCTTAGTTTGGGAGCAACGTTGTCTCAAAGTTGGCCGAAACGCTCAGAAATGTCTTTGAAAAACCGTTGTGACTGTTTTGGTCAACTTTGAGACAATACTGCTCCCAAACTAAGACTGATAATCGCATTCCGTAACAGAGGCATGCTAAAGGAAGATCCAAAGAACAACTGCCCGTTGAGGGAGCAAAATGCCCGGCTCGGATCAGACGCAGTGGCTGCTTAAAATCGACCCAAAACATGATTTTTCAAAGACATTTCTGAGCGTTTTGGCCAACTTTGAGACAATACTGCCCCAAAACTAAGACTGATAATCGCACTCCGTAACAGAGGCATGCTAAAGGAAAGTCCAAAGACCAATTGCCCGTTGAGGGAGCAAAATGCCCGCCTCGGATCAGACGCAGTGGCATGCTAAAGGAGGGGTCCCGTGGGGTCGCGAAACTTTTCCTGGGGGTCGCGGAAATTTTTGGCTACAAATTTGGGGTCGCGAGCCGAGAAAGGTTGAGAACCGCTGTTCTGGCCGCTTCCGCCTCCCCTCCACGTGCTGGAATTGGAATCTCTCTCTCTCTCATACCCCGCGTCCCCACTTAGAAATCACTTGAGCCAGCTTTCAATTCCACGTTCGATTCGCGCTCCCTCTCTTTCCGTCCCCTCTCCCTCCCTCTCCCTCCCTCTCCCATCCTCCGCCCCGTCGCTCGGCGGCTCTGCAACCGCGTCGGAGACAAAGACAGTCGTATGTGGCGCCGGTTTCCACCTCAGCGGTGCCAGGGCCATGGCAGTCCGGGGGGGACCTGCTTCGGCAATGGGACATTTTTGGCCGCCCTGGCCTTCGTGCCCGGCACAATCATTCCGAGGAGTCGTTTCGACGCTCTGTCTCCCTCGCACTCATGGGGCGTTCCGTCGCGGTGCGAGAGAGGCAGAGCGACGAAACGTTTCTTCCAAATGGCTCGGCTGGCGCCACAACAAACAGCACGGCGGTATGGCTGGGCTGGGGCGGTGGGGTGGCCTGTTGCTCGCTCGGAGGACTCCTTGCGACTCCCCTGTTGGCCCTGTCTCCCAGGTCGAGAGGGAGAATTGAGGTTTCGTGTACACGCTTCCCGCGCAGTCAGACCCCATTTTTCACTCCCGCTCGAGGGGTTGCACAGCGCGGTTTTCCAGCGGGCTACTTTTGGCACGCAGCATTCGACCTCCCTGAACAAACAAACGACCAACAAACAAACCAAAGTGGCCCCTGCCAGTCCTCTTTCGGCCGTTTTTCTTTCGCGTAAACTGCGCGACACCAGCCTCGAGGAAACTTGTTGCCAGCCAAGCCTGTTTAGGGCTCCGCTGCTCCGCTTCGCCGCGCTGCAGGGCCTTTTAATGGGCATTGGCGGGCATTGGCGGGCACTGGCGGGCGGCATTGCGGCCCTTGGTCGGAAGTGCGTCCCTTTCACAGCCCGGCCCACTCCATTCGGCACGTTGCTCGCCATTAATTGTGGCACGAGCAGCGATTATTCCCCCGTTCCGTGCATTGAGTACCGGACCGGTCCGGAACGGCAGAAGGCTGGGCAGGCGGCCCCCGGAGCCTCACAGCCTTAAGCGGCCCCGCAGCCTCCGCAGCCTTTAGGGCGTCCACAGGCTCCATTGTCGGTTTCGCCGGTCCTTTAACGCGCCACTCACCTGGAAGTACAGCACCACCTTGCACATGAACCAGCCCATGAACCAGGTCTCCGTGACGTCCCACAGCACGGTGGGCGGCAGGCACAGCAGGATGACCAGGAAGTCGGCCACGGCCAGGTTGGCCAGGAAGTAGTTGGTGACGGTGCGCATGCCGGGGTTGCGGTACACCGCGGCACACACCAGCGCGTTGCCCACCAGCCCCACGGTGAAGACGCACAGGTGCATGGCGATGAGCAGCCACTCGTACTTGGTGGGGAACACGTACGTCTCGATCATGTCCAGGTACTCGTCGTCCGGCACGCAGTAGTCGTTGGTGCAGTTGGTCATGTTGCCGGTCATGTTGTGCATGAGGTCCCACAGGTAGGGGTTGTCGCCCGGCGCCGGCGTGGCGTCGTCCAGCTTGGGGCTCCGGATGACCCCGGCGGGGTCGTTGGAGGTCCCGAGCCATCTCGCGGCCCCCAGAGCCACCATGGCGACCTGCGGCAGAACGTCAAGAGTGTCTTCATCGACAAGCAGCAGAGCAGGACCCCACCGGGTACCGAAAATCTGCGCAACACGGAATTCGCCCGCACGCGCACGGCCAGCGTCGCAACTAAACCAAACTTTTCGGGCGAAGGAAAACTTCTTCTCCCTGTTAGAGCCGTCTGTAGAATTTCGGACCGACGGTCTCTCGAGAGCCGTGTGGAGAGCTGAGCACGGCAAAGCAGCATGCGACGAGAGACAGTTGTTTATTTTCGTTCCTCTCGCAGCGGAAGCGATAGCTTAAGCCACTCCACTCACTCGGGGCGAAAACACTTTGCGTGCCGAGTGGTGCCGCCCACGACCGCCCCCTCCATCGCATGCTCTGGCGACGGTTCGGCGCAGAATAATGCCGTCACATCCAAGTGGGTGTCATCTAAACACGCGGCTGTCCATGGAACAACGTCTGGAAAGGGGTGAGTGGGAAGAGGCGGCGAGGAAGAAGAAGAAGGAGAGGTAGGATGGCGATAGTTTGGACGTCTGCGCGGTGCGGCCCCTGTAGCGGGTTGTTGCCGCGGGGCTCGGGGCGATGTTCCCTCAAAGGCCTCGGTGGAGCGGCAGCGACAACTTGGCTGCTGGCAAACAGCCAGATACCTGGTGCCTCACCCGCCTCGCTGCCTCACTGCCTCGCCCGCTGCAGAGATGGCACGGCGCCGTAAAAGTCACACAAAAACCACATCGACCGCGAGCATCGCGAGTCAGTATCGTGGATCCACAACGTGCCCCGAGGGGCAGGGCGTGGCGCAAATTGCCCACTTTGGCGGGAGGGAGGAAAACACGTCCTCGCCTGGCTCCCTTCCCAGAAACGCCCTTTGAGAGATACCGATACCTAAAACTTATGGCGGTGAAATTGCCGCGCTGCCGACGCTTATATAACGGCCCTGCTGTGATGGCGTCCGACAGACGCACGCACTTGCCGGCTCGCTGGGGGCGACATCGAACCCAACGCCGGGAGAACAAGGGTCGGGGGCTTGCCGCTGGCCACTGGCACTCCATCGCCTCCGCGGCCAGCAACCTAATCCTCTCCAGCGATATGCGATCCTTCGTCTCCTTCGTCTGCAGGCCGCCTCGCCGGCCTCGCTCCACCAGGTGCTCGTCATTGGCTCCAAACAAGACAACACAGACGGAGGCCTTCCAAGGAGCCGTGTACTGTGTTCTCTAGAGGGCGGTTTGAAATATTCAAGACAAGCTGAGCAGACACTTGTTTCAATTGCCATCCGCCGTTCGGTGTGCCCTCGGGGAAAATAAAAAGACATGCTCCCTCGGGTTCGACCCAGAAAATCGGCGCCGTTTTCAAAGTTTTGCTGAGCCTCCCCGGGGCCGGGTTAGCGTTCTCCAGCGCTCGCCAGCAAGGACCCGAGGCCCGGGCTGGAGCCGGCCTGCAGCCAGCCCACCCCTCAAAGATACATGACGTCGCACTGCAAGGGGATGAGACCTGAGACGGTGGAAGGGGTGTCCACGCTCACAGAGAATCAACTCTCAAAACTGGCGGGACGCAGACGTTCTCTAGAAAGTCGGGGCCTAAATCCACTCCTGGCCAATTTCAACGCTGGAGCTTTCCCCCGCTTTCCCCTCTCCCTTCTCCTCCGAGCCGCAGGATTCTCCTAACTCGTCCCTTCAATACCTCCATTCATTAATATTATGTATAGGCTACAAGGGCAATGAATTTCACCGGGATGAGTCCTCTGCTCCTCCCCCTTTCAGTTTCGCTCCCGCACACCAATGATTGAAAGATTAATCCATCATTTGTGTGGGACGTCAAGCAAGCTCTCAGCGGCTCTCTGTCAAGCTGACTGTGTAGCGAGTTGAGTACTGCTCCGACTTGGGACAGGCGGCTTGCGACGCGGGACGCGGGGTGGCGCGTCGTGTCTTCGTGCCGTCCCACACCACACTTCCACGCTTCTCATTGGATTAGCACTCGCTGTGTTGCGGAGGGACACAAAATGAGGATGGAACTATTTTGGCCTTTTTTGTCTCTTTTTCTCAAGAGAGGTTCGCGGAGCATGGAGCATGGGACAAGGGACCCCGGGCCGGGAGGGCCCCCTTCACTGCTTGCCAATATCCCAGGCCGCCTGTTGCGTCCGCTATGGCTCTGATTCCTTTGACGCCTCCTGCTGCGCTGGCTGCACCCCCCCCCCCCCCCAGCCTGCCTTTGCCTTGTCCGTGCGACGGCGAAGCAGTCGTCGCGGAGCTCAGCGTTGTCAAAGTGAAACTCATTTAGTTTCTCAGTACCGACCACCCTACTTTCCCTCTCACGTTCATTCAAATTAATTTATTTCATGTGCCGTCCCCAGAACTCCACCATGACAACATACGTCAACATCGCTCCCCTTTTCGCAGAAATGTGGCTCATCCTCACCGCTCCTCCGAAACCAGATCTGGCTCATTCCGAGAAGTGCGTGTACTCTTTTATGGCGCCGCCGGGCGTCCGCAGAGAGCGAGGTCGGCCGGTTGACGAAGAGGCAGCGGGCCAGGCCGCGGCAAGGCGCGGCAAGGCGAACCCGGGTCTGCTCCCGACGACGGGGTGCGCTCGCCCCCCTCCGACCCGCCTCTGTAATTTCAGCCCGAAAAGGCCGGAAAGCTGCGCGTACTTATCAGGCTGCGCCGCGCAGTCCGGCGAGGCGAGCCCCAGCGAGGCCCCACGGGGGGCTTAGTCGGACTTAATTCACAGGGACACGGCCGACTGGCCGCTTACAACCCTCTCATCTCCCTTTGCCTTCTTCATGGCACACCCGCTGGGTACTGCCCGGCGTCCCGGCGGCTGTGTGTGTTTTTTTTTTGTTTTTTTTTTTGTCCGCGCCTCAACAATCTCACCCCTGCCCCCGCACCTGCCAGAGCGAATGGGTTGGAAATTCCAAAACTGCCGTTCACCAAGGGCGGCATCTTCCACCGCTGCAGTGTTGCCACACAAGTGAGCAAACATTGCCAGTGTCGAAGCCCGGATGTTGCTGAGGTTGGCAACCGTTCCGACACTGCCCCTGCTCCACCCTGTGGCAGGCCCTGTGGTCCTCGGCCTCGGAGCCCGCAATGGCAATGGCAAAGGGACCGCCTGCGGGGTAGGCCACCGCGTGGACTCGCGACGTGGCTGCGCGGCGTGTGGCCTAGCGCCACTCTCGCGGGCGTTCGTCCTTGCGTCCGCTGGCTCTGCGTGCTCTGCGTGCCTCCCCCTCGCGGGCCCCGTCACCGGGAAGGCTGAGAAGGCCTTGACGGTGGCGTGGCGCTGCAGCGGGTGCGCTCCACTGCCCGCGATGCACCCTAATGCAGTTTGACAGTGCAGCACGGTGCAGCAAGGACGAGACTGACGCTGGCACGGCCCCGCACGGCCCCGCACGACTCTCGCACATAAAAACGAACGACTCCCACGCCGGCTGTGTCTCCGAGGCTCGCCTCCGAGGCCGAGGCCCACCAGGGAGGCTGGTTCCTCGTTACTCCGTCTCTCTCCCACCCGTGGGGCGAGCCGGAGGAGCGGGAGAGAGACGGCCCGTTCGAAATCACTCCCGCCGCGACCGCCGGGACCCCGGACCGCGGGTCCAGTCGGCGTTTCCAACGGATGATTCGTCCAAATTGAAAGCAAGTAGCAGTCACGGGACTGATTCCCCCGGCTTTGCAGTGGAGTCTCAGGGAACGTCAGCGGTTCGATGCCTGGGTTCCTGCAGCCAGCTTCCTGTTGTTTTGTTACCGTACTCGTATTGTCCACGACGGGGTGCTCTTCCGGGCGGAGCTCCTCCCCTTTTTTTCCGTCCGCCTCGCTCCGGAGGAGTAGTGGCTCCCCCATATGTCCAGCTTCTTGTCACCGTCCTCTCGCCAAGTTTACCAGCGCACTGATGCGATGTCCCTTCCGCACTATCTCTCTCGCACTCACGAGGCGTCCCGCGGGAGAGAGAGGCGGAGAGAGAGAGAGAGAGAGAGAGAGAGAGAGAGACTGGTAGTTCGGAACGAGCCCGCAGATGGCCCCTGAGCTCCCCGATTCTCCTCGGCCCCGCTGCAGAGGACTGGACCCTGTGGCGTCGTCGAGGACCTTCTGCAGAGCCGTAGCGGCGTAGCGGCACGCCCGGGGGAAGTCTTCGCACTTTCTTTTCCGCTTTTTTTTTCTTGTGCAAAGAAAACGGGGCGAGGTTCACTGTGATGGTCGCGTAGTGTGCCATGACCAGCACATCGCTGAAGCCAAGCTAGAAACGGCGCAGCGGCCGCCTCAGTCGCATTCACAGGATTTCTCTTCTACCAATCACTGATTCTGTATTGTTGTTGTTTTTCTGGACCCGTATGTCACTGGTTACGGCCGACGCACGGGCGCCCCCTACCGCTCGGCAAGCCGCGGCTGTCGGCAGGCGGTGGCCGCAGTGCCCATACTTCTCTCAAGTTGCTTGTGGCCGGCAGAGCCGATGCGGGGCGGCGCGGGGCGGCGCTCTCGCTCCCTTCCAAACTAGATTTCCCTATGAGGCACTTCTTGATTGCGGCCACATAGGCGAACGCCTCGAGTGCGGGTGCAGGCGGTAGAGGAGGGGAGGGGGGAGCCTTCTCTCTCTCGCACTCGAGGGGGGTTCCTCGGCGGAGCGGGAGAGAGCCGCGCTGCGGGCGGCTGGGAGCGGGCGACCGCGAGCCCCACAGGGCACAGCCATAGCACAGCCCCGGGCTCAGCCAGTGCATTAGGGGGGGGGGGGTGCGGTGCGGGCGAGGGTGCGGGCGGGCGGGAAGCGGCAGCCCGACGCCCGGCCCAGCGCCCGCCCGGCCGCCTCGAGTTTCAATTTGTATTCAAACGGCAACACCACGTAAATACGGCGGCGAGTTGCGCTGAGTGGGGCGGGGCGGGGCGGGGCGGGGCGGGGCGGGGCGGGGCGGGGCGGCTGCCACACAAAGGGCCCGACAAAAGGCCGGTCAAATGACGCCCTGCAAAAGATGAAGAAGAAGCCCTGTCGCGTTCAAACTTATCTGAAGGGAAGGGGAAGGGGGGAGCCTTA